AGGCCACAAAACTTTCCAGGCTCCTGCAGCACTGGTTTAACTTTGGGCCACAACTGCACAGTCATTAGTGTTTACAAAACAAGTTTCCAGAGAAGCAAAATTACACATTGAGGAAATAATAAGCAGCAATGTAATCAGATGTGAGAAGGAGATAATTTCATTACCTGAACCAGACTTCATTATTCACCATTTCCCTGGCAAGAGCTGATAAATGTAGGCTAATGAATCTTCCATTTGGACGAGCAGTTAGAGCTGCTGGCTCAGTGCTGCCACGTACAGAACAGGACCAGCTGAAAGCCCAAGAGGTAAAATATGAACTCAACCACTGCAGCACGGCAGTGAGATGAGGGAGAGGTTTTAACCATGCCTGGCTTGATCTAACAGAGTCACTTTGGCTGTGGGAATGCTGTGGCTACCATCTGGCTCAGAGGAACAAACTTTAAACATCCCAAGAACAATAGAGGACAGTGTGTACACTGGCAATATGTGCAAAGACCAGAGACAGATCTTTGGAAAAGTTCTTTCAGGACCAATAGTATCAGTCCTGACAGTTCCTTCCCCATCCCAACTCTTAAATATCCTCTTCAGCCTAGTCATGACACAAGATAACTACAGAGGCAGAGGCAACAGCATCAACACACAAAACGCAGCACCTTTGTCCAGTTCTGTACTGCTGCCATTTCTTTAACACAATAATTCCCTGTTGTCTACTGAAGCTGTTCCTCCTCCTAAAAAGCAAGGAAACAGGAAAAGCACCATTCACTGTAGATAATTATTTTTAAAAACCCACCCCACCACCCCACAAAAAAAACCCCAATCAAACAGAAAACACTACTAAAGAAAATATCAGTTAAGGGGAGCAAACCTCCTTAACATAAACCAGTTATCAGAATTGTGGAGGCACTCTCTGCTTTTTCTATACTTTCTGCATGTGTCACCAGCAACGTGGATCCCAAATTTTATATGAAGAAGCAGAACATTTGGCAAGGCTTCTCTGGAAGGAGCTTAGACGCTAACAGCCCACATAAGATGAAAACCTATTCAGAAAGGAACACACATGTCCTGACATTACAGGGAAATACTGCCCTCATCTGTCTTCCAGTGACAGGTTTTATTTTCCTGCCTAGTATGCCTAAGCCATTCATCACTTCCAGGATGAAAAGGTGGCTGCTGTTGCAACCAGCTCCAAAGTCTGTGCCCGGACTCAAGCTATTAAGTAATGCTGCTATTGGTGACTGGAATCGATATGACCATGTTTCTGCAACAGAGTTTAAATGTAGCAATTTCTCAATTCTCTATACTGAAGACAGTGTCTAGACCCAAAAGAAGAAAATAGTTTGTAGGTTCTTTATAAAACTAAAATCAAACAAAGAAAAAATATTCCTAATGCCAGGAGAACAGGAATACTGCAAGGCAGCACTGAGATTCAGCAAGAGCAGAGCAACCCCTGCTCCTGCAGCCTTTTGCACACTCGTGCACCAGGCAGGGATTTAGGCTCAGGATGACTGCAGTCCATACAGTTACAGAAAGCACAGAGAACGAGGCTGGTTTGCCTCTTTCATCCACACTGGTAAAAATCCGGCACACACGCACAGAGGAGGCACATTTTAAGCACCATCAGTAGCTCTCAGGAAGATGAAATGAAGGAGCAAATGAACACACATTAATTCATATTTTATAAAAGTATAAGCTTTGAAGTTGGGAAAAGTACATCTAGTAGCCAAAGTATAGCACTAGCCAGTTCTGTAGGGGTTTGGGTGCAGTAGGAGCCTGTATTAAACCTCCCTCAGTGAGACAATGCCACTGGCCAGCCCACATCCTCAAAGGCTGTGGCTGGTGAAAGTGCAGATCCCAGCACATATGTGGCAGCATTTCAGAGCTTCAGAGCACAGCTTTTCAAGCAGATGGAGGTGCTTCTCCTCTGCCTTTTTGTTCTTTTATTGAAGTTAGCCCTGCTGAAACTCCAGGATAGGAGCTGCAAAGTCCAACTCTGCTAGTTCCCAGTTAACTGACACCCCTCCGTGCTTGTGCCTTATCCCCCTTAACTCCCATTCCTTTTGATTTTATTTTGTAAATCCCAAATTTAGTCAAAATCTGCATCTCCAAAGCTGAGTGTACAGTTTCACAACATCTTAATGGCTGGAGCATCATCCCAGCAGAAGCAGACAGGTCTCATTTGATGACAACAAATTGACTTTCTGGCAGCTCAGAGCAGAGCAGAGGGGTCTACTATGACCCACAACAGAGTCTGGATTTCAGGGTTCCCTCAGCAGTGTGCTCATCTAGAAGGCAGGTGATGGAAACAAGGCAGAATGCATCCTGCCCCATAGCTCCACGCTAACATCCAGGCTCTTGTGTCCCCACCTAAGGGAAACAGGCTGGCCAATGCTTGACAGAAACATTTTGATCTATACAGAAATGCTCATGAGAACATTTTTAAGGGTTTTGTTGAGAAAACAGCCCTAAATTTAATTTTGTTTCTGATTGCTATCCAGTTTCCTGGATGAAATTTTTCAAGACAGTCCTTCCAAACTGATTTTCATGGAAACCTCAAGCCCAAATAGTCTTTTCCAAGACCACAGAAGAAGCAGTGCACTCAGGGCTGCCCAGCCTCAGACCCTCCAGTGACTCACCTTCACAGTAGTTTCTCCCAGGTCACCATTTCCAGAGTCTGGTTAATGTCTCAGCAGTCTCTCACTGCAGCCTTTTTGCCTTATTTTGATCTGTCATTTCACAGCCCTGTAGCTCTAGCTGAACAGGTGGAATATGGCAGATTCCTCTCATCATTTTAGTCTTTGTCACACAACTGTTTATAATTCACCATAATCTACCTATTTCTAGATTTTCCCCTAAGCACTGTCCTTTCTCTGATCAACAGCTGCATCTTACACCACTCTGTTATTCCTTCCCACATTGCTGTCTGCCTTCCCAGTCTGTCTTGGGCATATGATGTGTGTTTGCTTCTTTGGGGTCTTACCTGGAGTTTCCTCTTCTGCTTTTGAAGTACTTCGACAATACACAGCAAAGTAGAACTAAGGATGAAAATTCCTGGTGTCCATTTGCTTGATTTTAATCATTCTCACCAAATAACACCTGGGGAAATTCTGTCTTCATGCTGCTAGTATTTTAATAACATGTGTGGCCACAAGCTGCTTTGCAGGGACATCCAGTTTAGGTGGTGGTGGTGAACGTGAGCTCTCTGCTTCCTTGAAAACTCCACAATTCATCTTTTAAAGGGAATTATCTTCCTTTACCTTACTGCTATTAACACTGGTGGAGAACAATTACCCTTCCAGGGGATCTGGCATCATTGATGCTTGCTGCACCTTGCCTCTCCTTCCCTGAGTCTATCCCTTCCCCGAGTGTGGCTCCAGTCCCACAGTCCTTTTTATAAGTTCCCGTTTAATTACTTTCTGTACTTTCTGAGCCCACTTCAAAACAAGACTATTGCACTTTCTAAGACAAGACTTCCTGGAGGTTGAATCTTTCCAGTTCAAGCTCTCAAAGGCCTAGGATCATAGAAGCATTTGTGGCCACTAACTCCACACACAAAACTGAAAGTTTCCAGGTCCAAACCCATTAAAAACAGAAAATCACATTTTATTTGCCAGTTCCAAAATCATTAAAAACAGGGAAAAAAAAAATCACATTTTGTTTGCCATAAAGTATTGATTTGTCACCAAAAAAAAAAAAAAAACAACAAACCAGTATAAAACATAAACCAAGGTATGCAGCTTGGGCAAGAAAGCCACTATCCACACTCCTTCATGTCCAGAAAAAGTGAAAAAGCCCTGAGAGGAAGTGACAGCTGAACACGTTGCTTCATTGTTCCCAAGGAACCACTATCACAGTGAGAGAGATGTTCCTCAGCACACCAAATGTATTCATTCTCTCCATAGCCTTTTTTCCCCCCTTTATCAGGATTCACTTGTATTACAAGTGAAGTCAGTTTCTCTTCACCCAGCTCCCTCCTGCCTATGTAGATGCTCAAGTTCGTGTTCCCAGCTGCATTACAAACTTCATAACTTTTCATTAATCTCAAGATTTCAGCAAATTTTGGAATAAACAGCACTACAAGGTAGTTGTAACCTTCACTTTAAGTAAAGTTCTGCTTCTTTTGGCCATACTGTAACACTGTTTGGATCTTTGAAAAAAAGCACTTGGGGTCTCCTTTGGAAGGGAAAACCCAAATCTGAGTAAAAGAAGCAGAAAACAACCTGATAGGTAAAGCATTGATTACAGTAGGAGAGCAGACAAACCAGAATTCATTGGTTGCTCTTTCATTCTGCAGAGCTTAATGACAGAATATGCAAACATGAGGTTTTTGAATTAAAGACAGATGAGCACTGAGCATGGGGCATGACAGAGAAGATAGCTCTTTAGGGATCCCAAGGGGAATAATGAGAAATAGAAAGCAGCCTGCTTTTCACCATGTTTAAGCCTTATTTCCTGTGATGGCAATTTTTTGCCACTCAATATTTATATTTGTTTAGACAACACACACACACACAGCATACTCAACATCAAATCCTGAGCAGCCTCTCACCACACTGAGCAAGCCGTAGACAGAGAAGAATTGCTCATGTTCCCTGAGTTCCAGTGCCAGGCAGCAGCACATTCATTCCCCTCTGCTGACTGCACACCCCCAGGGTGGCAGAGCACAGCAGAAGGCAGCAGCTGCACCTCAGGGCACACACACACACACACACACACAGAGCACCTTTGGGCTCCAGCTGGGGAGCACAAGAATGTCTTTACTCTCCTCCACACCTGTATCTGCAGTCCAGCTGGATACCAGTTGGATGGGGTTAAGCATGCCCAGTCCAGCAGCCTGGGGAGCCTGCAATGTATTATCCTGCCCTCTCAACTTCTCACATATCTGGTGAGATCTCAGTGCCTAATTGATGTGTTCCTCCCCAGAGACTAAAGCACTAAAAATAAATATGACTCGCTTTCATTTGGGGACTGGATTTTAAAGGGCAGGGGTGTTGATTTGCCGCTTTTTTTTTTTTCTTTTGTTTTTGCCTAGTCCCTTTCCAACATTAAAAGACAAAACCCACATATATGCTAAAAAACAGTCATCCAAACAGCTGTCTCATTGTTGCTTGTATACAAAGGCAGACACAGTGGGAATTTCATGCTCCTTTTTCTTCTTGGGATCCACAATGTGGCTGTACCGTTCCCCTCGGTGGCGTTCCAGGTAGGGGCCCCAGTTCGCGGCAGGCCGGCAGCAGCTGACAAGGCGCTGGAAAGCAAAACCAAGAGGCATTTCATGTCGTGCTTTAGTCCAGGCTACTTTTAAAACTCAGTAAAATTACAGCTCTAGATAAGTACTGCAAATCAACTGATCACCAAAGTTGTTTAAAATCATTCCAAATATCTTTGCAGTCAGTGGGTTCTGGACACTGAAGTCAAAGAACAGGGAAAGCTGTGACTAACAGAACAGTTTGGGAAAGCTCGCCAAGAGCAGAATAACTCAGATCTGTCACTTGCTTCTGTGAGGAATGGGAGGCAAAATTCCTGAAAATTATATGGGGATAGAAAGAAATAGAAATTCTTCAGAGAATTTAAAGCTGGAATAGCAACAGAACTGATGAAAAATCTCTCTTGAGTGGTGTGTGTGTACTCCCAGAGAATTAGACTTTATTTTCTTATCAAAACATGATAAGAAAGGTGCATGTGATGCACCTTTGAAGCAACTACCAGAGATAATGTTTTGGTCCAAAACTCCAGTTGAAAAACACATCAAAGTAGTATATGTGTTGGAGAAGAAAGCACAGATGGTCTTAACAATACCAAAGAAATTAAGATTTGAGGCTATGACAGCAGGTTTTTTGCCCTTACCTGAACAAGGTTTCCTTCAGCTTTAAATATTTTTACAATAGCAACAATAGGAATCCAGATGACACAGAAGATGATCATGCACCAGCCAACAGCAGTTCCCCAGGCTGGGTATAACACTGAGCCATAAGTGGGACTTGAAAATGTGGCCAAAGACCAGATCAAAATAGCCTAGAAAAAATGGTAAAAACAATAAGAGAGAAAAGCAAGTTTCTAGCAACATTGAATTTTCACTGCTTCCAAGTTGGTTTAATAAAAAGAAGGGCTGTCTACAAGTTCTGCACAGTTCCATCTTGCTTTCTGAGTGTGAGAACAGTTGTGCAGGCTTTGGTGTCAGTCATCACCAAACAGCAAGACTGAGGGGCAGGACTGAAAAATGACCCTGAGGTGCACTGAGTATATCTCTATTTAAACATAACTTGATCTCTGGGTTCTTTTAAAATCTTATGTTGGATAATACATATGTTGCTGGCTTAGTCCAGTACCTTTCTCTATATGTTTTATGTATTCCTGTGCTCCATTATTTACAGCAATACAGGAAAGAATCTAAGATAATAAATTGGCAAATACTGCTTCAGAAATTGGATCATTTTAAGCAGCATTTTCTAAACTATAGTCTGGTCAGATTACAGGTAATGTGCTGTCCAGAGTGACTTGTCACTGCTCCTGGACTGGGGATGTTAATAAATTCCGTCATAGTAATATAATCCAATAATCTACACTCACAATCAGAAGTACAGGAGTAACAAAAACCAGACATGCAACAGGACATTAAAAGGTCTCAATTAGACAGCAGAACATCTGACCCAAAAATGAGATTTCCTTCAAGAGGCTTTCAAACCAATCTCAGTCTAAAATTAAGATAATCCAGCTGCCAAGGCAGAGAATCTAGCTGCTCTGTTAGTCCTTGGGAGTGTAGACCCAGCTCAGCAGTAACTGATCTCAAGTTCCAGCCTCTCCCGGAGAGGATCAAAGGAGGAGGGAATGTATCAGAAAGCAGAGACAGCCCATAGTTCACTTCACTGGCACAGCTATGCCCCATCTTTATACACAGAGCCTGGGCAGTCAGCCCTGAATTGTCACACAGAAACCTCTCCAATATTGAGTTACTAAGTTCTGTCATCCAGTCATGAGCACACACCATTAACAGCATAGGAGTGATGCAAAACCAGCATATTCTCCACCACAGCCAGAAAAAACGGCTCTTCTTTCCAATCATCATTTCAATGTCTTCAATGAACCTGTTTCCTCCTGTTGGAACACAATCATGGGACTTACTGTAAAGCAGGTACCTCTCTTGCAGCTGGGGTTACTCAAAAGTGATCAAAAAAAGGCAATGATCAAGGACAGTTTATCCAGTTCTGCATTAATTATTACAGGGTTTTTTTATTGTATTACTATTCAGATGGTTAACTTCTAAATTCTCTATTGCAGTTTTTAGTATTTAATATCCCTGGCACTGCTTAATGCCAGGCTGGATGGGGCTTTGAGAAACCTGGTCTAGTGGAAGGTGTCCCTGCCCATGGCAGGGAGTAGGGTCTTTCAAGTCCTTTCTATCCCAAAACCATGCTGTGACTCTATGATATACACTGTTCCAGGGATTGCTTAGTTTAATTATATATTTTCAATGCAAATAATTTACCATAAATGTAGACGATGCCTATTATCTCCAGGACAGCTGAAATAAGGATTCCCCATCCAGCACAGAAGTGATCTATTAGGTTAACCCAATAAATTCCTGCCTGCAAAACAAACATTAGAGGTTAAAAATTGAGTAGTAACATATTTATGCAAATAAAATAAGATGCCTTTGTTGAAGACAATTTAACTAATCACAACTCTGAGTTTTTAAGTTCACAGTTCTCCAGGTCTCACAGATTTCTGAATATTATTTTCTTTAAATCCTTCTATGTAAAGTTGAAAAGCACGTGTAACAAAATACTACAGATGCTAAAATCAAGATCTATGTATATGCAGAGCATACACAAACAGCTGAGAGCAAGATTTGAATTTGGAGCTTACAGGAATAAAGCTGGTGCTGAAGTTTTTATACTAAGCTACAGCAATAGCTGTACCAGTTACCAGTTCTGGGAAGTCTATCCTCCTACATGCACAACTTCTTTACGGGGTTAAACATCCCACATACCACAGCTTTAAACACCAGCATGATTGCAATAGCAGGATCACAGAGTAGGAATCAATTTCTGAGCCATTTCACACTCTCGTGTACTAAGTCCCTTGCAAGCTTCCCCGCCACCCTGTTTCATAACTTATGTACTTTGCTTGACCATACAACTCACTACTCACCACAATTACCTCCTTCACATTCTCAGTCCAATTACACACATAAATCTGCATTTCTAGATGGAGTAATTGCAGTGAACCTTTATACTCTTAAAAGCAATTGCCTCAAGAAACTTTACACAGTATACTTAAAATTCCTTTTCTGTATGTCTATTTATATATATACACACAAACACAGGAGAAGTAACCATGCAATCTACAGATGCTCAGGAATCAATGGGTTTTTATTATATGAATAGGCCATTCCTCAATTCCTGTCGTGTTTGGTAGTGAGTTCTGAACAAAAAGATCCCATCAGCATTTATTAGCAGTACCCAGTGTGCTGTGGACATATTGTATGCATGTACTTGTGATTACACAAATTCCTGAGCTGAGGAAAGATAAATCAGTCTAATAGTTCTAAAGGCCTTCTATTTAAAACCATGTCTCTGTTCAAAAATCACAGAAAACTTTAGGTTCCTCAAGCTTTCCCTGAGAATTTCTTACTTGCATACAGAAACAATGACAAAATTTAAGGGTCACTAAGACTGATCCACAAAGACAGGAACAATGGGAAAGGTTATTTTGATTTGAGTTCATCACTTGCAGCATAACTAAACCCAACTACCAAAAAAATTTAATTTCTTACCTGAGTAACACAGATAAGCCCAAGTAAAAAGAGCAGTGCACACAGACCTAGGGTTACAGGCAGTCTTAATTTTCTCATCACTCTGGGAGATATATCTTGAATGGTGGTTGTAAGTGTTTCTGCAAAGGAAGAAGTAGGGAGTTTGAGCAGCACAATTAAGAAAGATAATGGTCATTTGAAAAGCCATGTGTCACTTAAAACCCCACTCACCTATGGTGGCAAACTGGGAGTCAAGGCCCAAGAGCAGGAGCATGAAGAAAAACAAAAAGGACCACAGAGGAGAAACTGGTAACTTGGAGAGAGCCTCTGGGTAGGCTACAAAGGCCAGCTCAAAGCCTGGAAAGTAGTGGAAAGAAGGAGGTTATTGTCATGCCTTGGCCAAAGCAAGTCCCAATACCAGCAGTGTGACCATGAGCCTACCTGAGTCCACAACCTCTGAGACGGGTCTCTCGGACACAAATGCCATGTGTCCCAGGATGGAGAATATTGCAAACCCAGCAAATATGCTGGTGACACAGTTGGTCACACAAACTATTATGGCATCTGAGTAGCAGTTGTTGTGGAACCTGTTGTATGAAGACAAAGCAACAAGCCCACCCCATGCTACAGACAGGGAGTAAAATATCTGTGTGGCTGCATCTTTCCAAACCTACAGAAAGAAAGAACATGAGAATTATTTTATTACTTATAGTACTTATCATAAACATTTAAACATGTTTTCATAATCATATCAATATCATAACATTTTAATTCATTCATTCATAAACATTTTAAACATGTCCTTTTTTGAAGCTTAAGGGTATTTTTTTTTCATTCAGCCTGTATATCTAATCCTATTTCATATGGATTTTAGGGAGGATAGAATATAGCACACTGGTGGTTTTGCAGTCTCAATCACAAACACCATCTCTATGATCTCCAAAGGTCACATCACAAGCATGTTGCCAAATACTTAAATCTTATTGGGCCAACCCTGAAGAAGAGATTCAATTTGTTCACATAGGTGGGTTGTTGAGATATGAATCTTGGAACAGAGCCAACAAATAAGGACAACCAGGACTGGCTGCAGGAGTGAGAGCTTCCCTGTACCCTCCCACTTGTGTGACCCAGACACACCATGACCCAGACAAACCACTTCTGATGTAGACCCTCAGCTAGTGCCAAGTACTCACATAAGTACCACAAATAAATATCACTTTGATACGCTTGCTTTTGATAAAGCTGCAATAATAATCCAGAACAAAAAAGTCCCGGCTTTCTGTGCACATGGTGCCCTTCCTGGTCTGCCTAATCACCCAAGGTAATTTCCCAGGCAAGGCGTGGTCTGAATTTCAAACTCAGGGATCCCTTCAACCTTAAGGTAAAGTCCCTTAAAATTATCAGCAAGAACTTGCTCAGCAGGTCTTGCTAAGATGAATCTCCAGCATGACCCCCAAGAACTGTTTAGAGGCAATAGCACAGTTGTCATCACCAGTGTGGCAGGGTGGGGAAGAAGAAGGTGGCTGTCTTTCAGTTTGGAAGTAGCTGGAATAGCTGGGACTTCTTATACAACCAGCTGCTGATACAAAATACAGGGCAGGAGCTGAATGGACTGGACTGGACATGACTGGATAAAAAAGAAGCAAGCCCACATAACCAGGGAAGTGTGACACCCTTCTGGGGCTGATGCTACTTCTCACCTCTGCCTCCATCAGCTTGGTGATGTTGGACTGGCTCCCAATGTAGTATTCGATGCCGTCCAAAGCACCTTCCAGGGTGGCACCTCGCACCAGCAAGATGAGCAGGATGACATATGGGAAGAGTGCAGTAAAGTAGACAACCTGCAGAAGGATGGGCAGGGACACACATTAGGCCTGAGGGGATCCACAGACCTCCATGCAGGAAGACTGGACAGGCTTTAGGCTAAGGTCTGGTACAAAAGGAAAACAGGCAACCAGGGAAGTGAACACATGCCAGCCACCAAACCATCTGGCTTAGCTGGTTCTGAAGCTGCATTCCAGCAGAAGCAGAAGGCCCAAGCCACATATCCACATTTCAGATAGCACTTGACCAGTTTCAGAAATGCATTTTTCTAACATGATTTACTGCTATAGCAAGGTCTGTACTCAACTACCCCAGACATCTCTTGCTAGGTAATGCTTCTAGCAAGTGCAATCTGAAAGCCAGGGAAAATTAGGTGACTGGGGTGGAATTATCTCCTGAGGAGTTCCCTGCTATTCCCCACACCCCTTCTCCCACTCCCAAAAAAAAAAAAAAAAAACCCAAAAATTAAAAGAAAAGTCACTGGTCTGGAAGCTTTCTTTACAGGAATAAGGACTTTCAGATTCTCTCAGACACAGACCTATTCTCTTGTTGTTGTAGCACAATGGGACCAAGGCCAGCAGGAGAGTTATTGTCACACAGGCTATATTCAACAATACTCTGGTTTCCTGAGTCTTAGTTTCAGTGTTATGAAGACAGGTAATTGACCCAGTACTACTGGTTCCACCAGGCCAGAGCATTGCACCATCACGTGGCGAGTCTGACATTTCTGAAGACCTCCTTCACGCTTGCCTAGAATGGACAATCCTCTCTGCTTTTCATCTGCCTTGTTCCTGCCCAGCTAGATCCTTCCTAGTCCCACCTTACTCTCCAAAGAGGATTATCTTTGTGCCAGAAGTGACAACAGAAAGAGCCAACTGCCAGGAACCCAAAGAACATGAGATTAAGAGGAGCCATGCAACCAAATAACTGAGGCTGGGAAAGCACACATAATCCATCCCAAAGCACTGAAACAAGGGCAGAAAGCTCCAAATAGAAAGCAAAACAGGAGACATCACACTGAGCAGAGGAAAGCAGGCAGCAAGGAACCAAAGAAAGGCACAATGACAGAAGGAAAAGGAGGGGGAAAAAGTCTGTGCAGAAAAGGTGAACAAAAGAACAAAGGCAACTGAGGCTGAAGAAGTAAATGATGGAGATGCAATATGAAGGTGAGAAAAGAGTATAAGGAGGAAGGAACAAAACCAAGAAAAGAGCCTCCGGTGAGGAAGGATGAAATTCAGCCTGCCTGAAGTCAACAAGAAAAACTCCAGACAACTTGTGGAAATGGGAGCTCAGCAGAGACAGATTCTGAAAACAAGCATCTATGTACCTGTCCCTAAAAATCATTTCAGCTCTTGGGAACAAACAACATTTCACAATCTGGCAGGAACCTGCACACACACATCTGCTCACAAGACCTGACCTGTATTGTCCAAACATCTCAACCAGACTGGAAGTGCAAAATAATCACCGGGTGTTCCCAGGGCGTGTGCCCATGTGTGCCATCACATGCACGCTTCCATCACGCAGCCCAGGCAACTGCTAAAACTCAGCTGGAATCACCGGCATGACAGCAAGATCCCAAAATACAGGGCAGCCTGGTGGAGTTGAGGCCCAGGTGTTAAATAATGGCTGTGTAATCAGCACCTTACTCATATTTTATGTAAGTTATGAAGCCGAGGAGGAGGAGGAAAGCAAAATGCTGAGCCCAGCAGAGGGGTGTGTTAGGACTGCATCCTGCCTTGTGCTAAACCTCCCTGGGTCCAACTGACATTGGAAGAGCGGAATCAGGCCAAAAGTCATCTCCTTGCTCTTCCTAACATACCTTTCCAGAAGATTTTATTCCTTTAAACAGGGCAGCTGCAACAATAATCCAGGAGAGGAGGAGGCAGAGCGCCAGGTACCACACGATCCTGCCGGTCTCGTCCAGCCCACTCGAGCGCTGCAGGGTCACCTTGCTGAAAGCACACGATGCTCCCGTGAGGAGGGGTGAGCACACACCCCTCCTCTTCAGCTGCTTCTCAGGACAAAGTGAGCTGGTGTGTGCAGCTATGATGAGGCTCTGCAGCCTCTTCCAAGAGTGAGCAGTTAGAACTGCGTGATTTGCATTGAGAAATTCTATATTTAACTGCATTTTTCACCTCTTTTTGAAGCCTACCAGCTCTCATCTCTCCATACATCTCAAGTAAGGCCCACCTAAGATATTCCGTGTTAATCATGAAATTCTGGCAGGAAGAGCCCATAAGATTCAGTTTCCAGCAACCCAGGGAACATGAGGCAAATTGAGACCATGGGGCTATAAAGAAATGGCAATTTCACAACAGGCCCACATTCAGAATAAGGTAAATATATTTTACACAGTAACTCCTGAGGGAAAAAAAAAATATTCTATACTACAATAAAAGATGCCAAGTAGTGCCTACCAGGACTCCAGAGAAGAGGACTTCATTAAATTGGAGGGTTTTTTTCAGTTGGTTAAAGGTTGACTCACTTGCTTCTCTTTCTATACATAATTTCTCTTATAAAGGCCAACCTTATCAATTAAATTTTAAGTCCCCTCTCTAGTGATTTGCATGTCTGTGTATCTTGACTAGATATTTTTCTGGACTGCAAGACAAAAATAAAAGGAACATCCAAAACCACAATGCATAAAAAAACTATTTTTAGTAATTTCTTTAAAGTATTTACTTACTTCCAGTATTGCTCACTGGGAAATTGCACTGGCTTGTAGTTCATGGTGCCATTTAAACACGTGAGATTGTTGCTCGTGATGAATGTGTAGTTTGCATGAATGATTTCCCCATGCAAGGTTGCGTTGCAGTCGCTTACTGAAATCAAGAAAAAGGAATCAATGACACTGGGATGACTGTCATTAAAAAAAAAAATCAGCCCAATAGAGCAAATGTGTTTCCTAAGCAATAACAGCTTCAGTTTGCCTGCTAACAATATTTAGAAACAAACCTGAAATGCCACTTGCAGCTGTGACTTCTCTACTTGACTGTAAATCAAACCACCAAGAATCTGGTGTGCTCGCCACATTTTACTTATCCTCAAGAATACTGACAAAAATCAGAACTGAGCATAGTTAAAATTGTGGCCTTGGTTACTCTATGAAAGCTTTCGTCCCAAACCAAGGTGACACATCTGGTACCTGGTATTAATCTTATTGTGGCAGAGGGCTTATTAGAGTGCTTTAAATATTTTCCTTGGAGCAGGGTTGAAGGAATGGAAACCGGGGTTGGGAATTTTTTGCCAGAACATACAATAAAAAGCACTTTATCAGCATTTACTGGAAATTCTTGTTGAAGCCTATTTCAAGACAGCTTCTTCAGTTCAGTTTTGTGTTCCCCAAAAACTTACAAATCATGTGCTGAAATATTTTTTGTTTTGCCAATAAATAATCACTAACTTTTTGTTACATAAGACATCTTAGAAGATATTTTAAGGTATATGATTGAGATATATTTACATTAATACTGTAAACAATGTAATCCATCCTGATCTTGTCCCTGTTATTTTAATAATCACTGGTTACCAGGTAGGACATTTCCAGCTGCTAACTGCTAATTATCTCACCGAATTCACCTTTTGCCTTAAACTGGTCTGATACTGGTGAGATAACAAGTGTTTGTCTCTACAACTGCTGCCAAACACAAGAACAATAGTGTGGAGATCCGTTCTAAAGAGTTAATGAAGTGTGAAACCAGTGCCTCAGCGGTGCTCAGGATTACCATAGCCACAGGGAAGGCAAGGGGCAATGAAAAAAACCTCGTTAAAATTACTGCAGTGGTTTGTCTCATGGAAGGAAGGCATTTTTTTGCCGTGAAGCCTGATGGAATGGGAATGCAGTATTTCCAGGGATTGTATGTACTAGGGAAAAAGTTGACATTTTAAAGGAGAAAAAAAGGATCCAACAAGGTGATTTCAGCCACTACTCTGTGGATTTCCCAAGCACCCAGAACTGGTGGCCGGGAAGTGGATAAGCATCACTCCTCTGTTCAGATGCAAAACTCCAGGAAGGACTTTTGAAGCCACGGGTAGCTGTCTTGCTCCTATCCTTTCACCCAGAAAACAGTCCAATTGCCAAAAACTATAATATTAAAATCCGCTAAGAAAGGTACCTATTCGTGTCTTGCTGCAGAATTCATCTGCCCAGGAAAAGCAGTCTGACCATGGCAGCACTTTTTGAAATGAGGCAAATAAGTAGTAGAGTGAATAAGCAATGATAACGTTGTAGTAGATAGTCACAAATGTTGAGATCATGACCATTGTGATGCCCACTCCTAGGAAAGAAGATGTTAAGACATTAACATTGTTAAGACATTGTTATTAATGAGAAGAATGATGAGTTTGTCTTTACAAACAAGCTGTGGGTCAGTTGATAAGATGTAGCTATCAGTGAGAGACGACAGAAACAATGGGATGGATTCCAGTAGAAGATCAAAAAGGCACTGAAAGAACACTATGAATTCCATAAAAGTTAAGAAGGGATTATGCATTGGGGGTGGGGGGGGAAGGTACCCCAGGTATCAGGCGTTCCGGGAAGCCTGTACCTCTCAAGTACCTCAGCCTATGGGGAAAGGGAGAAGGGACAAGCGGCCGGGAATTAGGATAAAAAGGAGGCTGCGCCCTCCAAAAATTTGAGAGACCCCAGGGGAATGCCCCATGGCCTCTCCCTTTATTCGAATAAAGAAAAAGGACTCCTCTGTCTCCTTTTTGGACATAAACCTCTGGTGTTCGTGGATTAATTTTCCTGACATTAACATTGTTGAGACATTGTTATTGACATTACTATACTAAAACACAATGTCCTAACCACCCCAAAGTCTGGTTGCTAAAAAAACCCCACCAAAACAAATAGCCTGCACTTGACTTTTGAAAGAAGGCTACTTGGGAAGAAGTTGAAGTTGGTTTTTGTTTGGTTTAAAATATTTTTTAACAGCAAACAAACAGTGACATTTTAAACCCATGAAATGACGGATATGATCCAAACTGACCCTCTCAAACATGATTTTGAAATAAGTTTGAATTAAGGTCGTAGAAAAATTGGACTATTTGCAAAGTCTAAAGGAGAAATTCAGTATTTTGTTCTCTCCCCATTCAGAGGGAAACTTAGTAAAATAAAACAAACTGTACTAGGACTGCCCAAGCCTTTTGAAAGATTCCATGCTAATGAATGCTTTAAACTACAGTAAATCTTGCCAGTATTACTGTTCTCCCCCTTGTTAAAATGAGTTTTGTTCTGTGAGTTAGGGAAAGTCTGACAAACTGTACCAATCATCTTAGAAATGATATTTAAGTTTCTGTCTTCACAGACACATAGAAAATACACAGAGTTTAAAAACTTTAAAGATAAACACACTGCTTTCATGAAAGTGTCTTGTGCTGCAGAACAGAGACTGGCAAAAAGAGAAAACTTTGGGGCAACCAGTTT